GTGAGATCAGAGCAGTCTTTACCCCCAAACCAAGTTCAGATCGGTTAGGAAAGGAGGACCAGAAACGAGTCGCACAGGCAGGAAGTGGGATCGGTGTTGTTACATTGTAGGGATTGCTGTCAATGTCAAGAAACAGAATGTGTATGAGTTACCGAATGGAAACCCGATCTGCTCTGTCACCTTTCACCTAATTCAGGACAAAAAGTTACAACAAAAGCAAAAGGCCACCGAAAAAATGTTTATAGTACATCGATCTCATAAAGGACTCAACAATCAAAGAGCAGAGAAAATAATAGGAAACAAGGTTCGAGGGGGGAAAATACACAACCCATACAAGAGGGCTCCAAATGAAGAGCTTATGGAAGTTTTCCACAAAGATTTTGAAGCTCCCTCATCCGTTTTGAACTCAAGCACCAAGTAGGTCCCTGTGTAACTGTCTTTACTTTGTGTTTCTGTTATGTGTTGGAGTAAGAATTTATATATTTGATGCCCAGGGAGAAGCAAAAATTAAGCCCCAATCCTCTCGGGATGTTTTTGGCAAATGGCTTCCTCCCCAGTGACTATGAACCAGCAAGCTCCTCGACTTCAGAAGTCCTCCAGGACGAACGGGTATGCTGGGGAGGCCCCTGCTGGCCCGAGTCTAGACCTGTTTCCAGAGCTGCAGCAGGAAAATGGGACAGGAAGGAACATGGGACAAAAGGAAGATGGCGTCAAAGGAGAGCTTTTTTTTCTTTTTTAAATGGAATAGATGACCTCCATAACCGGATTGTGATTTACTTAGGCTATCTCATATACTAAAAAGTTAGTTTTTAATTCTATTTTTAAGAACTAATAAAGCCCCCAAGCCAAACTCATGCCATGGAGTTGATTCTGCCTCCAGGCAACAGTGTAGCAGAGTGGAACTGCCCGTGGGGTTTTTAATGCTGCAGTCTTCATGGAAGCAGACTGCCACGAGCGACCGGTGGGTTTGACTAAGGCCCTTTCAGCTCAGCCAAGCAATTAGCAATCGGATCTTCTTAGAACGGAGCGAAGCTTCATGAAGGAGATTCGTGAACTGCAAGGCTGATCTAGCTAACTGAATCAGAGCAGACCCGGCAATCAGACAGGCATTTGATTGTCCTCTGTATGCCACGTGTCATGTCTGAGGCGGTGACAAGTGAGATGCTCTGGGGCCTGGCCTCAAAACGTTTTGTCATTCTTGTTGTTAGCTGCATTCATGTCAGTTCCACTCAAAGGGTAACTGGCCCTGCGCTATCTCCCTGTTGGATTTCAGATCAGACTGTTGTCATCAACAGGGTTTTCATTAGCTGAACGTTTTGGGTGGTGGGCGTAGAACACCAGGCCTTTCTTTCTAGCCTTCCCTGACTGGACATAGATCACAAGGCCTTGCTTCCTAGTCTGTCTGAGTCTGGAAGCTCTGCTGAAACCTGTTGGAAGGGAGATGGAAGAAACGGCGTACACTGGCACGTTTATCAATGGGTGGTTATTTAGATAGAAGTCTGGAAATTAGCCTGATCGAACATCAGAAAACCCACTGCCAGAGCAAATAAATGGATTAGTCGAAACCATACTACGTACATATGAATAGGACTCTCAATAAAATAAAAGCTGGCATCCAGGGCAGGTTATTGTTTCTGTCCCCCGTAACCTCTTATCATGTAAGACTGTCTTCTGTTAGCTCTCAGCGAGGCTGCAGTAAAGAGAATTGGACAGTGCACACTTGCTGCATATGCCTCTCTCTTTGATTACAGAAGGGACCTGTGGATATGAAGGGATACTATTTCTTTGCTGGATGACAAAGGTGATAGGATAGTTACTGCCTGGTGGTTACATTATATGAGACTCTACCTTAGCAAAATGAAGGGATACACACCCTCCTGAGCCTTTGAAAAAGGAAGCCCTGATGGCACTGCGGGTTAAGCGCTAAGATGCTAATCATAAGGTTGGTAGTTCAAACCTATCCAAGTGCTCCACAGGAGGAAGATGAGACTATCTGCTCCCATGAAGATTTACAGTCTCAGATCAACTCGATGGCAGTGGCTTTGGTTGGGTCTAGTTTTGGAGAAGTAAGCTGCCAGTCTGTCGGTGGGCCATGACCTAGTGAATCTTCTTAAGAGCTAAGAGGGACAGAGCCGAATCATGAAAAGGAGGACCTCAGACGTATAACAGAGGAGCCCTGGTAGTGCAGTGGTTAAGCCTTTGCTAATGGCTAGTTCCACCAACCAGTGCTCGGGAAAACGATGTGGCCTTCTGCTTCCATGAAAAATGACAGCCCTGAAACCTGTGTGGTGGTGCTGCTACTCAGTCTTACAGACTCTCTGAGTCTGAATCCATCGTGTGCAGTGGTTCTCAACCTTCCTAGTGCCGCGACCCTTTAATACAGTCCCTCTTGTGGTGACCCCTCAGCCATAAAATTATTTTTGTTGCTACTTCATAACTCATTTTGCTACTGTTATGAATCGGGCAACCCCTGTGAAAGGGTTGTTTGACCCCCAAAGGGGTCACGACCCACAGGTTGAGGACCACGGACATAGAGGATCACTATGACTCAGAGTGGACGCCATGGACCAGTGACAACACTCCCCACTCCAGCCCATCCCTGTGAGCCTTCAGGGCAGAGCTGGCCCAGGCGCCTGCACAGTGGCAGATCAACCAGTTCCTGCCAGGTTGATTCTGATTCAAGGGGGTCCGTATATACTGCAGAGTAGAGCTATTCTCTGCACGGTCTTCAGGGCTGTGACCTGCTAGAAGCAAATGGTCAGGCCTTTCTTCCGAGGTGCCTCTGGAAGGACTGGAATCATCCACTATGTGGTTAGCACTCGTGTGTGGTAACCATCTGTGCGGTTAACAGGAGGCTCTGGAGAATCACAGGATTGTAAAGCCCAAGGAGTCGCTGTTTCGTTTCTAGCATAGACCAGGCTTCCAGGTGCTAATAGGAACTTGAAAAGTCATCTCCAGGCCAACAGCAAGGTGACTAACCAAGCATTTATGGTGCTAAAAGGGCCGAGAGCCCCAGTGGTCAGATAAGCTGTTCTGAAACAGATAGGCATGCTAGCGGCAGCAGGTGACAGGCACTGGCAAAACTTTTCACTCTCTCCCTAAAGGGTGGCAGGAAGCCCTGCGGATTTGTTCTGGCTCTGTGCCAGGCTTGCCTGCTTGCTGCTTCAAGTCATCTCTCTTAATTCCTTCCTGAAATCAAACGTCAACAGACACAGACAAGAACCCTGCAGAGCTTGTTTTGCGCAGTGGCTTAAAAACCCAGGTATCAGGACAGATATGTGAGCCACGCCTCACGAACACCCATGGAATTCACAGGAGCCCAGAGCAAAAAGCAGGTGTTTAGAGATAGCAGTCTTGGGCAATATTACACACCTTCAAACCCTAAAACCAAATTCTCCACCGTAAAGGGGATTCTGACTCCCGGTGACCGTAGAGGACAGGGTAGAACTACGCTTGTGGGTTTCTGAGACTGTCATTCTTCATGGGAATAGAAAGCCTCCTCTTTCTCCACCAAAGCCACTGGTGGTTTTGAACTGCATACCTTGTGGTGGCAGCCCACCTCATATCCACTATGACCGCAGGGCATTAGGAATGGCATTTAGCTGGGTGTGTGTTTTGAGATTGTGTGAAGGAAATATCCCTGTCCCCCTGTGGGGGTTACGCTGAAGGAGTCTTGCTCTTGCTTTGGGGCTCTGCCTCAGGGGAGGCGGAGATCATTCGGAATCAGAAAGGAAGCAGAGCAAGACATGGAATGAGGCCTCCTCCCTGGTGCACCACAAGCTCACAGGCGCCAGCTTCAAAGCTTTCTTGCCTGGGTATGGAGTCGGCCCTACGAACCAAACAAGATACTGCAGGTCCTGCCTTGTGGGCACTTTTACAAATTCTGGCTGGCCCTGACTCTGAGAGGCCACCAGCCAGGCAGAATTGCCCTAAGAGGAGTAGTAGGGGAAAGACGGGGGCTGGCTTCCGATGTATCCTTACGTGGAACTTCTTTCAGCCAACCGGGAGGGAGCACTTATTACATATATGTCATGTACTCAGGCCTTGTGCTCAGGCCGGGGGCTAGAGCTGGGATTTAGACAGTGAAGGTCCCTGCCCTCATGGGATTTGTAGTCTTATGTGGGCATGACCTTCAGATACTGCAGAGACAGAAAAAGAAAAGAAAACCAGAGAGGACACAGAATCTTTTAAACATAGACATATTTCAACATAAACATTTAAAATGCTAATAGAGACTTGAAATTGGCAGAATGTGGTCAATACCTTCGATGCTCTGTGGGCCCACAAGATTCATGGCCTGGTGAGCTGGGTATTCTACGCGCGGCCTGGCAATGCCCAGCTGCTCCATTACGCCGTGGAGCAGCCTCTGGACGTCGGCTTCGGAGACCCGGTCAGGACTCCGAGGACTGTAAGCAGATGCCGGGGTCCATCCAAGTGCCAGGCAAAACAGTAAGCCGGAGAGCAGGAGAGAAACCCTCTGGGAGATCATTTTGAACCTGCAAGAAAAAGATCAAGTGTAAGCCCGTCGGGCACAATGGGCAGTGGTGAGTGTGCAATCATGCCCTCACTCCAAGAGGCAGTTCACGGGCCACGTTTGTTTTAAGTTGTCTGTCCTGTGCAGGACATCTCCAGCAGGGAGGTTTTACACGGGCAAACCCGTCTGAGGTTCCCCTGCCCTCTATCCGCGCAGTCTTGGGAGGGTCAGCTGACCCGCACTTCTCGCCGGTTTCCCATTTTCCTTGCATCGCGCAGTGTTCTTCGTTCGTTACCCAGACCCAACCATTCTCACCATCTCTTTCTCATGAAAAAGAAGGGAAAAGACCCCATGGCTCGCTGCGATTCTGAGACAGGGAGAGGAAGGGACAGTGACATCGTAGGGCTGGCTTTCCCAGTTTCAGAGGAGGAAGGGGTTTCCAACAACCTCTGCCATCGTCAGTTCCCATTCACAGAGACCCCACATAGCGTTGCCAAGGCCGTAGCTCTATGGGAGCAGCTGGCGCACTGGAACCTCTGGCCTCGTGGTTAACAACCTACCCCACAGCACCACCAAGCCTCCTCCAACTCAAAACTGCCAGCAAATCAATTCTGACTCACAGCGCTCCTCTGCATGGTTTCTGGGGCTTTGTACGGGAGAAAGGCAGGCTTTCCATGCCAGTAAAGTTAGAATCTCAGAAACTCACCGGGGCAGTTCGACCCTACCACTGGAATTGCGAAGAGCCAGGATTGGCAGTGACTTTGGGACTCTGTCAATCTCTTCAGGAGCAGATAGCTGCATCTTTCTCCCTCGGAGCAGCTGCTGGGTGTGACCCACCAGCCTTGTGGTTCGGCAGTCTGATGTTTCCCCAGCAGACCACCGGGGTGGGCCCTTAGGATGGATTTCACTCAAGCAACTCACTGCCATCAAGTCAAGTCCAACTCAGAGTAACGCTCAGATGGGGCAGAACTCTCCCAGGGGGTTTCTGAGAGGGCAACGTTTCCGGGAGCAGGAAGCCTCATCTTTCTCCTGTGGAGCAGTTGGTGGGCTTGAACTGTTGACCTTACAGTTAGCAGCCCAATGCTTATTGAGCATCACCCTATGGCTCCTCAGGAAGGACTTCGGGAGAAACAAACAGGTAGGAAGGAAGATTGGTACTTATCAATCATCTCATCTTTGAGATCCCAAGACCAAAGGCAACACACATACACACACACACACACACACACACACACACACACACACAACCCGCACACACACACACCTGCCTACCATCTGGCAGAGGGATGAACTAAGCTTGCTCAGCCCTGCTCTTGTCAGGAGTCTGTTTTCCCCTCTGCCAGGGTGACTGTGAAGATAAGTGTATGAGGGCTGAGAACGACGACGCCAGGCACAGGCAGTGCGCCCCAATCGGTTGCATTGGCAACATCACCTCCAGCAGGCCTCTCTCTGAACCACCTCGCCTGCTTAGGATGGATGCTTCAGACAGACGCCCCGCAAACCTTTCTTTGATCGCCCCTCTTATTGACATTGTAGAGGAGGCAAAGCCATGTATTTCCCTCCTTGAAACAGAAATACTCATACTCCCCATATATTCCCCACCCCCACCCCCCTCAAAAAAGCAGAAGTCCTTCTCTGGTCACTTCTAGCGATAAAATATCCAAAAACAGTTCGTTGCGGCTGCAGCTGTGCTGAGCAGGCCCCAATTAGCACCAGCCTCTCGCCTGCTCCATTTTTCTTCGTTGCAGCCTGAATGCAAGATGTCTGTGTCTACTTCCACCCCCAGTTCTGATGTGACAGAGCCACTCAATCTCCTCCTCCGGGCACTCTCTTCCCCTGACGCAGAGCCAGCCATCCTTTCTTTGTCTGGCCCCGACCCCGCCGGAGGATTTCAACAGAACCCGCCGATCCGAAGGAGACGCGCGCGTCTCGGGTGGGCAGCCACGGCCAGCGCAGGACTCACCTAGAGGCAGACCTGGGGGGCTGCTGTAGCATCTGAGCCTCTGTCGGGGTCAGTCAGGAGCCGGGCGAGCTGGGTACCTCTTGCGTCACCTCCCTCGCATCTTAGCTCCGCCTCGGCCCCGCCTCCAGCAGGTGGAGGCCGCTTGGCCCCGCACCCTAGGGTGGATTCTCCCCCATCGACCCTGTGGAACAGATTCGCCCCCTTCGCAAGCAATTATCCAAACAAAGACAATAAGCCAGATTGCTACTTCCGTGCCCCCCCGCCCGCCCCCCAAAAAGCACACTTCTCTAGTTTTGCCACCTTCTAGAACAGCCCTGCGGGTGCAGTGGGTGATGCGTAGAATCCAATCTCTCCTGGAGAGAAAGAAGTCTTTCTATTTTAGTAAAGACAAGAGTCTCTGAAACCCCAAGGGGCAGTTCTACTGTCCTATTCTGTCACTAGGATTCAAAATGGACGGTACGGCAGTGGTTTTAGTTTTATTAACAGCCTGGAAAATCATCTTGGCTTGAAGAGGGCCTAAGAATTTTCAGTGTTGGCAATGATGAGGCACACTGGGGCAGGGCGGAGGGGGGAAATAAGCTGATACCAAGGGCTCAAGTAGAAAGAAAATGTTTTGAGA